AAAAAAAAATAAAAAAAAAAAAAAAAACGTCTCAAGACCTTGCGTTAAAAAAAATGTCTCAAGGCCTTGCGGTTTTCCCCATTCTATTGCCCAAGTTGTGTTTTTCAAAGCAAAATCACATTTTGTGTGAATACCCCCTAACTGAAACTTTCAATAAAAATGTTTTACATAAAGCCTGAAGGAGTTGACGGGAGCTTAATTTTGGTGGCACTGAAGTCATGTGACTGTGGTGTTGTTCGTTTAAAGCCTACATTTGGCTTTTTACTTCTGCTGATTATATTGCTTCAAAATTCATAAGATTTGTTAAGATAATCACGATGAACAAAACGTGTAAGAATCATAAACTTTTGTTGATCAAAGAGCTTATTTCTGTAATTATCTAGAAGCCAATGGAAAACTCTGATTGGGTTTTTGTAGAGGGAACCAGTGTGAAGTAAACATCCGGAGTGGCCTACAAAAATATGTCATTACCTCACTCTATTACAGCTAAGCCAACTCCTACAGAATAAACTACACAAAGCTAGCTGGTGTCTTCCAAACACTTAATGTCAGGCATTTTTGGGCAAGCTATCCCAAAATAAGAGTACTTGCTGCTAGAAATCACCAACTGTGACGTGACTGAACCGCATGTCTGAAACACCAACCTGCTCTCACTGCCTTGCTTCTTCCTCTCTCGCACCTTCAGCCACTTGCGAAGCAGGAATCGTTTGCGCCGGGGCGAGGCGCTCGGGGTGGAGCTGTTCGACCAGGCCGCGTCTTCATCGCTGGATGGCGTGATTTCGATGGAGGGCAGCTGAAGGTACTCTTTGGAAGCCGAGCAGGATCCGGGGTGCCGCAGCAGCCCGTTCTCAAGCCGCTCCCGCTCGCTGGGCAGCTTTTTCATTCGTCTCATCTTAAACCGTCGGCGCCGCAGGGTGGGGGTGGACGAGCTGGACCAGACGAGGCTGTCGTGACCGCCTCCGCTCCCACCGCCCTCCTCCTCTCCATGGCTGGACTCGTCCTGGGGGACGTGCACCTGGAGGGACGGCGGGCGAAGGGTGTCCGTCATGCTCCGAGCTCACCACCCCTGCCGCTGTGATCACCGGTAAGATGCTAAACGGAGATGCTACGGTTACTTCCCAGCTACCAGGGAAGGTGAGAGTCTAACCGGGGAGGTGTCCGGGTTAAAGATTCAAGAGGAAACTGAGGTGTTAAGTTGATCCTGAGTCCTCTAAGACTTGTCTGAATGCCGGGGCACTTCGATCAAAAGTCGATAATCCAGTCCTGCGCTGAATAGCTGTTTGAGTCCTTTCTTGACGATCGATTGAACTCTTTCTACTTGTTTTAGCTGCACAATTACCCAACAAAGGGCACCTGATGGTGTTTGGGTGGATGAACTGGTGGAGGTGAGTGAAAATGACAGGAGCGTGTGTGGCCTACAGCGGTGTTAAATGACAAAGGAGAGCTCTTTTCTCCTCCCAGCAGATGAAACATGCATAAGGGGCGGCTATCGGTGTAACAGTACTCCAGGACTCCCCGAAGGTCCGAGACGGTCTCACACACACGAACACGAGCATAAACACTCAGACTATAGAAATGACCTGTGTGTTTTTTGTTAAAGATGCCAGGAAATCTCTCCTGAGTACAGTCCGGTTATCCAACAACAATTTTGAAGATGGATGGTAATGTCTGGAGCCGGAATTGTGGGTTGGTCACGTTCCTCAGGTTGCTGTTCCCACAATGGTCTGCATCTCAGTCTTCCGGCACATACAGCTGCCCTCAGCCTACAGATTAGAGTAAGGTGATAGGATGCCAGGTAACTAGGACACTGGTGACTGAAGTTGTAAAGTTGTATAACAAAGGTATTGTTAAAAATGCATGCGAAGCCACAAACAGTCACGAGGACACATTTATACACAAGCCCCAGCAAGATGCACCACCAAACACACAGATGAATCAGCAACACAAAAAAATGAAGCACAGTAATTGTGAGAGTGCACACACATACATCGAGTACTCATCTGAATGCACACTGAAACCACACACTGAACTGGGATCTCTGAATGAACCACTGAATGAACTGAAAAATTAAAACCAAAAAAAATCCAGATTTAATTTATTCTTTCTATCAGTTTCAATATTGTCTTAATATTGTTTTTTTTTTCTTCTTTTATGCATGCTACAGAATTGTTCACAAACAAACAAACAAAAAAATATAAAAATAAATAAATAAATGTTTTGCCAAAAACTTTAAGGTTTTGCCAAACCCATATGACATTCTTGCTCACACGGAACATAAAAAAAAAAAAAATATATATATATATATATATATATATATACACTCCAACCCGGTACTAGCAAGGTGTACTGATCCCAAAGGCCAGTGAGTGTATATATATATATATATATATATATATATAGCAAAGTGTTCATGCTACTTTTTTATATAGTGAAAATAAATGAATGGGGACTTGAAGAAAAGCATCATAAAAAGTCCATATGACTATATCCTTTAAAGCAGTACACTTATTTTGATGTGTTGACTAACATAACTAAAGCGCATGTAAAGTACTTAATTATAAGTTAATATTTTTAAATGTACTAAATTGCAACTTCATAACAAATGTGTAAAATGTATTTAAATGCACGACTTACAAGTTTCAATAGAAATTATATTGAAGCATATTTTAGTTTACCATAAATGCTTGCCAGTACATTCAGCAGTATCTGACATTCAGCATCTTTTAAAGGCAAAATAAGTAAATATGAAATTACATATAAAGATGAACTAAGTGGGTCTAAAAACACTCTTAAGTTGCAACTAATTGCATTTATATTTCATTTTAAGTATAATACTATTTACATTTAATTGCAATGCATGCAAAACACTGCACTCAGTTCACACTTATGTATATTTTTTTAAAGTATATTATTTCTATATAATAATGTGGTGTATTTAAGGGTAATTAAGGCTCTTTTGACGTCATATCTATGATAGCTTTGTGTGAAAAATTATTGTCTACTTCAGCTCCTAATAGAAAATGGTTTGATGTCAGTGATGCTGAACACAGTTGGTTCTTGCGTGTCTTGTAGCCAATCTGAGAAAGAGATTTTACAGCTTCAGCAAAGGCGATTTTTTTTTCAGTCAATTATTTAAATTCCAGGCTGTTTCTCACAATAAAATATCATGTTACTTCAAAAGACATGAGTCATTTTGAAAAAAACTTTTATTTATTTTTTTGGTCATACTTTATTTTGTCATTTTGGGAGCATTTTAGTGTCTCTATTCACATTAATTATATGAAAAAGAGCTGTGTGAACATTTTGCTAAATATCTCCTTTTGTGTTGCACAGAAGAAAGAGTGCCATATGGACTGAACTGACATGAGGGTGAGTAAATGATGACAGAGTATTCACTGTGCTTTGTAAAAGTACTGGGAATAACCTCAAACCGCAAAAAGCACCTAGATTTAAAGCATGCCACTATAAATCATTGGAGATGTTTATTCATCACAAACTGTAAAATGATTTTATACAACAGGAGCAGTGTTTAGCTGAAGATGAGAGCGATAAAAGACCAGATAGTGCAAACACAAGCCTGACTAAAGTAAACAGCCCAGTGAGAGTCATATAAAGAGGCCATGGGCCAAACAGCCCGACCGCTGACCCAGTACTGAGAAACTCAAATACAATCCAGTTGACATCCAATATTTAAACAATCACTTCCACAAAACTGCTCTGGCCTACGGCACACAAAACCAAAGGCCATACTCCAAACGATTATTAACAATAGCATTCCACATTTCTCCACTGCAGAACAGCAGGAAGCCTCTGTCAGGTTGTGAGCGAACTGTTATGTTGACAGATAGTGACAGGATTGGGTTACTTTGAAATGAGAGGCTGTGTCATTGTGTCAAGACAGACACTCAAGGCGATCGCCGCTACATAACCCAGCTTCTCTTCCTCGTACACGGAGACAACAACAACACACAGATAATAAAAATAAGATGTGAATTAAATACACATGCATAAATATAAACCACAAAAAAAGAATAAATTGTATGTACAGGTGTGCTATATAGAATAGGAATAGAAGCATGTGAAAAGACCACATTTGAAAATACCACATTTAATAACATAGTTTTACTCCAAACTCACTTCATAACGTCAGCCGAGTGTTTGAAATAAATCCTTCTGTGAGATGATGTGGCTTCTTACACAGAATAAGGCACGCAACATATTTCATAGTATTTAAGCAGTGATAAAGGCATTGCATTATAAATATACTTTATTTTAATGAAAATTATAATAATAAGAACTCCGATAAACTGTATATTGCTGTAGTCGTGTGTTTATTAGTCATTAAGCAAATTAGAATGATTTCTGAAGGCTCATGTGACACTAAAGACTGTAAGTAATGATGCTGAAAATTCAGCGGTGCATCACAGGAATAAATTACATTTTAACATACATTCAAATAGAAAACAGCTATTTTAAATTGTAATAATATTTCACAATATTACATTATATTTTTCTGTATTTCTGATTAAATAAATGCAGTGCTGGTGAGAATAAGTGATATCTTTAAAAAACAAACAAGACAGCTAAAATGTGTTCTAAATATGTATTAAATGCTTAGTTTTGCATGCTAGTATGGATGTTTAAAACGTATCATATGAAGGACTTATCAAAACATCATATCCTGCCAGTTAAGTCCAGTGAAAATTAATATTTTCCATATAAATAATTTACAGTGAAAGGAGAGACGGTCCTCCTGCTGGGATCAGAGATATTTCAAGAGTGCTGTTAATCAGAATATGAAGACACCAGCTCACATTACAGACATCCTTCATCAGAACAGAATAACATCAACAGCTTTACACAACCAAGGTCATGTGGACGAGGAAAAACAACATTCACCAATAACATCAAAGCTAAAGTTTCGCGCATGCGTCCTCGACAGCCGGCGCGTGACGTGTCTTCTTCTTCTTCTTCTTGCTTTACGGCGGATTGCGCTGGCTGTCGAGTTTCAGTTTCTTGCACAGACCGATCGTTTCGTGTCTTTACACATCAATGTATCGTCATAAAGGCAAACATTATAATACTTTCTTGTTTGCCGTCAGCTTTCAGCAAATACGTATTTATATCATTTAAACAAATCTTTGAATGTCTAATAAACATCTAATTTCAAAAACCTTGCAAACTTAGTCGGATCCAGTTGTGAGATCTTGTGAAATGTGCATGTGTTCATTGAGACGCGCGATGGACAAACTTTAAACTCGTGATTTTAAATTATGCTGCGCTTTATGCATTTGCCCACTGCCATATTCATGTCTTTTCCACTGTGTGCTGTATGTAAAATGAGTGTTACCTTGGCTTTATTTGAAAAAATATGATTCCCAAATCCCAATGCACACAAACTTCCCAGAATACTGAGTGCCCTGTTGGTTACAGTGTTTACTTCCTTTTTTTATTATATTTTTATTAAATATTTATTTATTTGTGAAAAATTCTTTGTCATCTAAAGTATAAGTATGTTTATTTAACACATTTAGCCTACTTTTTAATCCATTTTCAAATGATTTCAAATTTCTTAAACATTAATTAAAATAAATGCAATTATATCTGCTTTATATCGGCCATCGGCCACCCTGCTTTCCAAGATATCGGCATCGGCTGTCAAAAAACCAATATCGGTCGACCACTAGTTAAAAATCTTAGTTTGTGTTCTACTGAAGAAACAAAGTCACCTATATCTTGGATGCCCTGGGGGTAAGCAGATAAACATCAAATTTTAATTTTTGGGTGAACTATCCCTTTAAGCAAAGTCCTGTCCGACATGATTACAAGCATTCAGGAGCACAACGGTTGGTTTTATAATCAGAAATGTTACATTACTAAAGTTTGCATATGTGGATTCACGTTGTGTTAACGGCAGTTTCTGACAATACTTACTGTATTGTAATCTGTCTCTAACAGAAGAGATTTATCTCATCAAGCCTTTCAATGTTGTACACTGATATCGGTCTGATCATCTAAACAGCTGACAGGTCATTCTTCACATTGATT